TTTATAGGCCTTGTGCAGCCCATTTGCCTGCCCAACCATGGAGAAGACTTTGCTGAGGGGACCATGTGCTGGATCTCTGGCTGGGGAGCAACAGAGGAAGATGGTGAGTTTAGATTTGGAAAAATGACTTTTTCTTCAGTCTGGTTTTTACAAAAGCGTAGAGCTGTCCCATGACATAAAATTATTCTTAGCCCCTTAACAGTCTTTGTTCCACCGGTGGGAAAAATGGTGCAGTTTCTGCCTTTAAAAATTTCCAAATGCTACAGGTGGCTTTTTTAAACCAGGTTGTCAGACTACTTTCTACGGTTCTTACCTAAAGTTTGACTCCCTTACGAAAGTAAAAATGTCAAAAGGTTTTTAAGYAATTTCAGGGATCTCATAACGACAAAACTATATCGAAAAAACAAGAAAATGTGTTGTAATAACAAGAAAAATATCTTGTGAGAAAACTCATAAAAAGATAAACTATCTTGTAAAAACGAGAAAGGTACCTTGTTATATCAAGATAACCATTTTCTGGTTTGTCACTTTCATGGAAGTTTATTGCCTGGATGGTGTGATAGAGAACATGACAGGAGTCACTTTATGCGTTTTTTTTTTCACTTTATGCATTTTTATGAAAAAGAAATCTGCGAGAGGAAAATATTTCTTTACTAAAAATGATAAGGTACATTTTTAATTGTGTTMTTGAATTACCGTATTTATTAAGGTATAATATGATCTCGAGTATACTGAGCCCCTAAAAGGACATTGGATGGAAAAAAAAACTTATCTCGTGCACACTGGTTAGTATCTCGTGCGCACCAGCAAGTATCTCATTCTCACCAGTTAGTATCTCATGCGCACCAGTTAGTAAGTTGTGCGCACCAGTTAGTATCTCGTGCGCACCAGTGATTATCTCGTGCGCACCAGTTAATAAGTCGTGCCCACGAGATACCTCACAGGATCTTTCAGATCATTTTGGACAAGTTGTGTGTGTACTGAAATGGAAATACGTGACATAATTGATTTTTCTTTCCAGTTTGGTCTGAAATYCAAACACAGTGCTGCGTTGCTTGTTCTCCGATCAGTGCTGCAGCTTGGTGACAGTCTCGGAGCCTTTCCACCCATGGTTCCTGGATGTTTACGGTTTCCCTGACAACGGGGTAGTTTTTGCTAAAGCTATACAGCTGCCTTCTCAGGCGTGTATCTCAAAAAAAATACTGAACAGATTTACAGTATATGGTTAAGCTAACCCTAACCTGTTTATTATCTGCCACTTCGAGGAAATGTTTATTACACAACAGAGAACAGCCAATTAAAGTTTGCAACATTTCAGAGCTCGAGCGGGGGCACAGCTTCGATCGTCATACCGCTGATCAAGCACTGTGCCCCATGTCCCGGTTGAAGATCAACCCGCTCGGAGCTATTCTCCAGCAGTTCTTGGATGTTTACTCTCTTTCCTTCACAACAAAAGAGGGGACGAGGGAGGAGTGAACTCACCCCTTTTCAGGGCCCCATTTGTCTGTAAAATAGGAAAATAAATAAATAAAATCCAGATCATTTTGATTAAATTTTAAAACATGTTTGAGCCAGAGGTTGCACTAGAATTTTTGCTGTCCGTCATTTTGACTGACAGGGTAAGAAAAAAATCTGTCATGATCAATTCCTTTTTTAAATGATAATGACAAAACATTCATATGTGGCTATTATCATGTTGGTTTTGCAGTTTTGCCTTAGATGTGGCACCTGCAGGATTTTATTGGAGAAAATCTTATCAGTGCACCTCACACAAATACAGGCCACCTGAGTGCATGGTGCTGAAAAACAACACATCTGTCCAACTCTAGGCCATACGCGCACAATGTGACGCACACACACAATGTCCCGCTTTTGAATCAGTTACCTTACGAAAAGTAAAATAAAAAAACAAACCAAAAAAAATACAAACGTTATTTAGTGGCTGCAGTTTGRAACATTAGAGGATGTATTAGTCCGTCTCTACCTCCTTTGCAGGAGGAGGAGAGAAGAGAGAAAGGCATGAAGGCGGAGATGCAGTCAGCTGTTAATCACAATGCGCAACTATTGTTAAATAAAAACAGAAACAGAACATGGATTTGATTTACGCAATGAAAAAGTTGAATAATTAAAAAAAACTCTAAGGAAAATCTCAAGTTACGCACAGTGAGTTTATATCTGCAGCACCAGTGGTTCTGAAGACTAAACCCGCGCTCTGCTGAGACGCTGTTGGAATAACAAGCGCCACTTCAGCCAAAGTTTTAAAATCAGAAAATATTTCTCCAGTTGAAATGATCATAAGTCAGCAAGATTTTTTTTTCCAAATCCTACAAGCAGTCGCTGTAGCAAGAGGAAATCCAGCAGCATGCTCGCACTGCACCACTGGTTCAGCTGTGCGTCACAGATGTGCTCCAAAGCCTCCTGGCCTCAATGCGCTGTCAGCTCCTAGATCTGAGATGATGTCAGATGGGAATCTTTTATTTATTTTAGATTAAATAAGACACCTCCGTGATGTAGACCTGCTCCATGCGTAAAGCTGAACATGTCTCTGTGTGTGAGTGTCATGCCACAGATCTGCTGTCTTGTGAAGCCTCGTTGCTACAGCCTGGATCTCAAAGCAGCAGATCGAGTGCTTTCCCCGATCAAAGGACAGCGAGCCGACCGCTTCAGCTCTGTGTCCCAGAAGAGGATTGACACTCACTGCACCTAAATTCATATTATCAGGCATATTGATAAGTGCCTTCCAACCTAGGAGGTAGACCTCTTAAGTGTTTTATCTGGATTTTATTTATTTTCAGCTGGATAGCTTTAGCAAAACTACCCCGTTGTCAGAGAAACTGCAAACATCCGGGAACTGTCAGTGGAAAGGCTCTGAGACTGTCACCAAGCTGCAGCACTGATCGGAGAACAAGCAACGCAGCACTGTGTTTTATTTCAGACCAAATTGGAAAAAAGCTCAATTATGCCACGTGTTTCCATTTCAGTACACAAAGCTTGTCCAAAATGATCTGAAAGATCCTGTGAGGTACTGTATCTCGTGGGCACGACTTACTAGCTGGTGGGAACGACTTATTAAGTGGTGCGCATGAGATACTAACTGGTGCGCTTGAGATACTAACTGGTGCGCACGACTTACTAACTGGCGCGCACGAGATACTAATTGGTGTGCATGTGACAGTTTCTTTTCCCATCCAATGTCCCTTTTAGGGGCTCAGTACGAGTATGATACGATCATCCTTTTCTGAGATTAAAAAGCGTTAAAAATCTAATCATCAATAATTCGTATATAATACTACCCCCCCTCCCCACCACCRCACGTTATGGATGACTTTTGGAATTAAAGTTCATTAATTATACATGAATAAATACAGTAATGGCATCTGAATGCAGATTAGAGTACATATTGCTGCTAATGTAATGCTGACTACATCTGAGCACAAACCCAAAAAAGCATCCTGTTCTTTTTTGTTTACGTAACACACTGTTGATCTATATAAATTAACCAAACTCCAAAATAAACAAAGTTTGTACATATGCATGATGTTTTTATGTAGCATACATGTAAACATTAGCAAGTAAACATTAATGAAGTTCTCAAACTATGAATTAATGAATAATTACTTRTATGTAGCTAATGTTCAATAATATTTGAATCTTTGTCTTCAATCATGGAATAAGGCATTTTGGTCCCCCYTAATCCCAATTTGTGACCGCAAGACTGCTGTTTGGACTGAAGTAATGCAACTGACTGACTGGATTCATAGAAGGAGACAGAGAGCATTTGCAAGGTTTAATTAAGTCATACATTTTACTAGGGTTAAAATATAAAGAAATATTGCTTTCCCTCAGCACTGTTGGAATTATTATCAGCATTCGAACACTACGAAAGATTTTGTCATCGCTGAGGTTTCATAGAAGAAAAGAAGAAAGTAACATTCTTGATGTTGCACTATTTGTTATGGAACAGCTTCAAACATATCACGTATACAAACTACAACACCTAAGATGCATCCCAGAAGGATTTATTGTTATTCAGAATACTGTAAGGTATTTACTGAAAATTCTAGATCCTCAAGCTGTGGAACTGAGACAACGTAATCACCTCAGATTGCYTCAAATCTACTACAATCCATGTCCTAACTTTGTTTGGCATGTGGATTCATACGATAAGCTCAAACTGTATGGAATTTGTATAAATAGTGCAGTGGATGAATTTGCCAAATTGGATTTTGACTTCATGCATACTCCACCAACAGTAATCCAAAGGTGGATATTTTATTTCAGAGGTTAAGCAAAGAGGGGGAACAGCTTCCAGAATTTGCACAGGCATGGAGACAGAAAATGTCATAATGCAAAGAAATGCAAATATTTTTATGCCATAGTCAAAATGACAYCTATTCAAGAAATTGCTTTATATTGGGTTCTAGTGCTCACTACCAGCACAGAAAGCTGCTGGGCTTTAAAAAAAAAAACACCATACATAGTACTGGATGAACAGTGACATGTGGCAAGGTTCATGGATGGTGAGGCACTCAGTTCATCAGAATCATATTTATATTTGAACCCTACAGAACACCTTATTCACCATATGACTGGCAGAAGTTAATGAGTTGTGTTTCATATCACTGATATAATATCGTTCTTTACACGAACTGCAACTCATTTGATGCACATTTCATTAAAACAAAGTTATTATGTCCTACCTTTACTTATAACTTAAGTCCATGCACCGCTCAAAATATCCCATCTGAGTCCAGATACTTTCACAAGTTGAAAAATGGAAGGATGAAAAAAGTTTCTCTCAGGACACAGTGCCCAACTGTTTCAGAAGAGCTTTCATCCCAGCTGTGGTGTGGCTCTTATTTACTGCTGTTTCCAAGTCCAGTTTAGAAAATAGTTTGAGCTTTCATATAATCCTCCATCCTAAAAGTCAGGTTTGGCAAGAGAGAAAACAAATACACTGCAAAAACTATCCATCTAACCAAGTTTTAAAACCTTATATCTAGCCAAAATGTCTTTTTGATCTTGTTTTGAGACTGACTTACTAAATAAGAACTGGTTGTGTAAGAATAATAATCTTGTTTTCAGAATGTGTAAGATTATTTGTCTTGTTAGCCTGAAAATTTGACTCAAATTAAGTCAAAATTTTCTGCCAATGGAGTAAGAAATTTTTACTTGGTAAGATTCTTGAAATACCTGATTTGACTCAATTTTTTCTTCTTTCAAGAATCTTACCAAGTAAAAATTTCTTACTCCATTGGCAGAAATATTGGATATATATTTTTACTGATAATAATATATAATATTACTGGATTGGACATCACYTGACTTATCATGCGCCGCACAGGTGCCATTGCAATGCATTGAGTTTTGACTTGGGAACATCCATGAATGGTGGTAAAAAGGGGATGCAGCAGACAGTCATGCAAGGAATATCAAAAAGGGATGCAATATTTTGCCATAAATTGTCCAAACTACAACAACAAGATCACAAGATCCAGTTTATCACATTTTACATTAAAATATTTTTTATTTTTAAAAATGTCGGAGATGCGGAAAGTAGGACAATTATGCTAGCTTGATTTTGACAACCTTATGTCGGGTAAACCAACGAAAAGACAAATTTGCTGTTCCAACAAATTWTTATATTTTTTTATTAATATTGTTATTATGTTGATAACATTGTGAGAGGTGGACAACAGTAAAATTAGCTTTACTACTACTAGGCTGAACTGAGTAGATATTACTGGTACTGATGTTCTGTCCAGTCAGCAAATGGTATATCCTGTAGTTTATGATTATATATCAGAGTAAAAAAACTCAGTAACTTTTTTCCCTCCACCGTACATTTCATAAGCTAAGCGGTGGAGGGGCTGACCGCATTTATTTTATGACCAGCTGGAGGAATTTGTCTTTAGTCACTTCGGTGCAAATGAAGAACCAGGAAACAAATGCACACATAACTCTTATTTTATGTGACGGAAAGGGGCTTCTACTGTAAATACATTAGCAAAAACCTATAATGAAAAGTTCCCAGACTGCTTATAGATTTATCTCTTGAGCAAATACATATTTTTTACATATCACAACATTGGCAATTTTCTCAACTTTAATTTAAACCGTATTTTATAGAAATCGGATAAGAAATGAGGGTGGTATGAATATTTTTGTGACGGATTGACGCGCATCCCCCATTGAAACTCTACTGTTTTGTTGACGACTCAACGCATAGCAATGGCTCCTATGACGGCGCGTTGTAAGCTATAGCAGCTATAGGAGATGTCCAATCCAGTAATATAGAACAATGCCAAAACCCATAGACAGTGATTGACGCCCTATTGGAAGCTGAACGGCATTACCATTTCGCCGCCATATGGAAGGTGGCAGAGAGGGGGAAGCAAAATGCCTCATAGTTGTGCAGCTTGGAAATGTTCTAACACTTCAGATGTCCAAACAAAATAAGACCTTTCACATGTAAGGCTTAACACTTTCTCTAGATTGTATTTAAGCCATATTCTGCACGATTTTCACCATTTTAACATTGTTTTGGGAARGTAAACTCGTCAACAAAAATACTGGTTTATGGTTTCCTGATCACAATTAATTACTTAAATAGCATTTTGGCTGCATGACGGCTCAGTGGTTAGCACCAGCGCCCCACAGCGAGAAGGTCCTGGGTTCGATCCCCGATTCGGACCTGGGGTCTTTCTGTGCCGAGTTCATATGTTCTCTTCGTGCTTGCGTGGGTTTTCTCTGGGTACTCCGGTTTCCCCCACCCCACAAAAACATGTACAATAGGTTGCCTTCAGGCTCAGGCCTCCCTTGACAAGAGATCTGCGATCTCAATGGGACTTGCCTGGTAAAATAACGGTAAATAAATAAAATAAAAAATAAATTAATTAAACTTTAGACTGCACACGGTATTAGATGGAAAAAAATTATTAAAAAGTATTTTATACACACACACACACACACACACACACTGACAGCAACAAAACTATGAATTAACACGTGGAACTATATACTTAATTAAAAAGTGTGAAACTATTGAAAAAATGTCTTATATTCTAGGTTCTTCAAAGTAGCCACTTTTWGCTTTGATTATTGCTTCGCACGCTCTTTGCGTTACATTACATTACATACATTAGAGGACTAATGTCTCGGCAAGATCTAGAGAAACTCATCCATGTGTTTATCTTTGGTCACATTGATTACTGCAACAGTGACTTTACAGGTCTGCCTAAAACATCTATCAGACAGCTGCAGCTGATCCAGTATCCTGCTGCTCGCATTTTGACTAAAACCAGGAAGATAGAGCACATCACCCCTGTTCTAAAGTCCTTACACTGAACTCAAAGAATAGACTTCAAAATACTGTTATTAGTTTATGAATCACTTAACGGCTTAGCACCACAACACATTAAAGATATGCAGTTGTTGTATCAACCTTCCAGACCTCTCAGATCTTCTGCATTCCCAAAACCAGAACCAAACATGGAGGAGCAGCATTCAGCTTCTATGCACCGCAAATTTGGAACAAACTTCCAAAAAATTGTAAAACAGCTGAAACTAAGTTCTTTTAAATCAAGACTGAAAACCCACCTGTTTAGAGTTGCGTATGAAACAATATACATGAAACATTAATCAACATTTTGATGTGTAACAATGACARTTGACAAACTGTAATGCTTCAATTGTTAACTGTGTGTTCTAAGACGGTATTTTTCGTGTTTTATGGTGTAAAGCACTTTGAACTGCCTTGTTGCTGAAATGGGCTATACAAATAAACTTGATTGACTGATTTTCTTGTATTTTTTATGGCCATCTTGTTGTTCTTCAAATATGTTTTTGGAAATGTTTGAGCAGCATCAGATTCTTTGTGGCCAGAATTTTCTGGGTCATTGCCAATGCTCATCTTTATTCAGAATTTTTGTAGTAGTGTTTGTCACTGTGCAACTCTTTCACATTTTCTTTGATTTTCTGAGCAAAGTCTTCGTGTGGCAATTCTGTAGCCATGAAGGGGAATGTAGCTGGCCAAGCAGTTATGTTTTCAGTTGAATCAATGTCAATCAACAAACGCAACAAATATTTGTTAAAAATAAAACAATGCAGTTAATTACATAGTAAGAATTAAATACTTAATAACTAAATCTAAGATTTGCAATTCAATATGCATACGTACAGTATTTAGACATATTGTTAGAAAAATATGCGTTGTTCAAAATGGTATGTCCCAATAAACAGGAATCTGATGGATTTCTTCTTTAAAACTTTGTTTTCAGTCTTCTGTCTCCAATCAGTTTCATACAGAATAGCGCTCAGCACACAGGCCTCAGTCAGACCTTGGCTAAATGAAAACAAAACAAGAGCTCTGCTCTGAGCAGACACTCTGCCAAACACTGACAACTTCTTTTTACTATAATAATGAATTGACCTTATAATGTACATCCCTTCCTGGTTACGCCCCAGGAGGTGTTACCTTTTATGTCAGACGTCAGAACGTCACTCATTTTTGTTTAGGCTAAAAGGAAGAACACATGATAACACACACCAACTCTTATTCTGTTATGGCCTTAAAGCTGCAATGATCAGAAAGTATAAAATACAAAACTGAATCTAATATTCAATTAATCAGCTACAAAATTTCTTCAATATGATATGAGCACATAAATGTTGCTCCTCACAATAATATGACGTGTCATATAATTCAATTACATCGACCACAAGATGGCYCTCATCCAGCACGTTACAGTACTTTGTTTTAAAATAGCAACTTTTTCATGTTGTTTGTTTATATTTATTTAAATGAATTTAAACCAGAAATTACATGGGGTTTTGATGCTACAGTGAAGCTAACAAGTAATAATTAATTAATATGTACAGTTTGAGAACTTCATTAATGGTTACTTGCAAATGTATGTCACAAAAAACATACATATGTACAAAACTGAAATTACTTCACTTTACGTAACTTTTTTATTTTGGAYTATGGCCAAATTATATAGCTCGACAATGTAAACAAAAAAGAACAGAATGCGTATTTGGGTTTGAGCTCAGACATGGTCAGCATTACATTAGAACATTAGCTATATGCATTCTGTAATCTGCATTCAGATGCTATTAATTCAAAAACACTATTCAATAACTTACTTTGTCATTTTTAGTGTAGAAATATGTTCCTCTCACAGATTTCWTCTTTGTAAAAATGCATAAAGTGGCTCAGCTGTGTTCTCCATCATGCCAAGCAATAAACTTCAGTGAAAGTGACAAACCAGAAGAAACCATAATGAGATAGTTTTCTTGATATAGAAAGATACTTTTCTAATTTTTACAAGATAGTTTTCTCATTATAATGAGATATTTTCCTCGTTGTAAAAACATTTTCTTATTTTTATGAGATGGTTTTGTTGTTACAATGAGATCCAGTTTAAAAATAATTTTGTCATGAGGCAGCTCTATATTTCTGTAGATTTTCATTCACTCACTCTACTTTTCATCATTAAAAGCTAAAGTGAAGACATTTAATTTATTAAAAACAAATGGAATTGTGTAATATATATCAGCACAGTAGCTTGAATTGAAAGTTTTACATCTGAGCTCAACAGACTTTCCTCTGCATTTATTGGTGAAATATTTCTTAGTTTTTGATATCTGGTAGGTCTGACAGGTCTGCCTTAGAAACCAATTCAGTCATGAAGGTTTGTTAAACAGTCATTTAAACATGCAAATTTGTACTATGTTTATCTTTTTTCCTTACAGTTCTACAAGGTTACATTTTTGTCATCTTCTGGTAATATGTGCTAACTACAAAATTAATTTGAAATCATGTAATGTTGCTAGGAGAGACCAGTATTGTTTTACGCTCAGCTATGGTTCCGCTCATTTCCACCAAAACCTGCAATCAACCAGAGGTTTACAAGGGACACATCACTTCCTGGATGATCTGTGCAGGATATCTAAAGGGAGGAATTGATTCTTGTCAGGTAACGTCAGTTTGGTTAAGTCTTAACCCTAGTGATTCGGTCTGCTTTTACCCTTCTCTTGACTAATTTTAGTTTGTTTAGCAGCTTTATATGTGAGTGGATGATGCTGTCATTAGGATTATTTTAACTGTATCTATTTAAACTGAATTATTTTCTAGATTATGTCCCATAATGTCATTTATTTGAAAGTGTAAAAGATTAAATACCTTGTTTTTAATTTGGAGACACTAGACACTCCGCCCACTGTAATTTCACTGCTGTTCCTACCCAGGGGGATAGTGGAGGGCCTCTTGCCTTTAAACAATCTTCTGCGTGGAAGCTCATTGGGGTAACAAGCTGGGGCATTGGGTGCGCTGAGAGGAACAAGCCTGGAGTTTACACTTGCATCACACAAGCACTAAGCTGGATTCACCTTCAGATGGAGGTGAGCACAGGAAACTCAATGCAACAAGACCTACATTTGGAGAATTTAGCCAAAACGCATAATAATAATAATCTGGGTGTAAAATCTCTATCTGAGAAAGAGAAAATGCTCTTTTACCTGACGGAGCACATTCCCAGGGAGGAGAGTGGTGATGGGAGCAGACCTGAATGGACATGTTGGTGAAGGAAACGGATGAAACGAAGTAGTGACAGGCAGGTTCGGAGTCAAGGAAAGAAACCACGAAGAGAGTAGAGAGGAATCTAAGGAGATGCTACATCAGTAGGACGAAGTGAGAGTAAAGGCCAAGACAACACAGAAGACAGGGTGCTGAGGAAGGAGCTGTGGAGTTGTTTGAGGGCATTTGGAGTGCCACAAGGAAATGTTAGACTGGTACAGAACATGCATGAGATGTGCTGTAGGGATGACAAAGAGATTTAAGGTGGAGATGGATCGACATCTGCATCAGAAATTGACTCCGGGCCCTGTCATGTTTGCTTTGTTGATGGACAGACTTGACAGATGAGGTCAGGCAGGAATCCCCATGAACTATTTGCAGATGACATTGAGATCTGTGGTGAGAATAAGGAATAGGTGGAAGAGAACTTGCAGAGGTGGAGGTTTGCATTTGAAAAAAAAAAGAAATGAAGGTCAGCTCTGACAAGGCAGTGTATGTGTGTGTGTGTGTGTGTGTGTGTGTGTGTGAATGAGTGGGAGGCAGCTGGAACAACTTTCTATAGGCCGATTCATTATTGCTGGAGCTCAAGCCCACAATCGTAGTGTCATTAACAAACTTGTTGATCATCTTGGAGCTGTGTTGGCAGCCAGAGAGGAGAGAAATAACTACCTAGAACTGCCTTTTGAGACCAGCTCTGCCTCTGGGCGGTGTCCCCAAGCTGAGCTTCCTCATCAAGGAGCACACCTCTTCACCCCCCGCCCCCCACGCCCCGCCCATGACTCCTGCAGGCTCTCCGCAGCAACAAAGCAAACAACTGGTGAAACTGAAAGTGAAAGTGAAACTGTCTGCTGAGCTCCTAACGCTACTGCACACTCGGTGAAGCCCTTTTCAGATTCAAAATACTTTTAAGGAAATGTATTTTCAGATGCCAAGTAAACAACCCCCCCCCCACCCCCGTGCGTAATAAAATGGGCGGGACAGAAGCGGAAGGAGGTTCTTCAAGAGACAGAGGTCAATTTCAAGGCATTTAGAATAGGAAGTGATGAGAAGACAAGTTTATTTTCTATTTAAACATAAAAGCAGCATTTTATTAACTAAAGGTGGCATAGTTACTTTATTATAGTATAGAGTTTAAATATATGTCTGAGAAACACATAATATTGCCCCTTTAAATAATATATCCTTTGTGATCTTTGGAGGCATGTACAGCGGGTAAAATAAGTAATTAACACATCACCATTTTTCTCAGTAAATATATTACTAGAGGTCCTAATGACGTGAAATTTTCACCAGATGTCGGTAACAACCCAAGTGATCCATACATACAAAGAAATCAAACCATAAATGTCCAGAAATGAAGTTATTTGTAA